AACACAACATTTCCCCTATAAAAGCCAATTAAAACCAAATATTTATAGTCTGTGACATTATTAAAATCATTAAAAATTATCCCTATTTAAAATTCACCCTAGGTCAGTCCCGCTTGCTGAAAAAGCCATGTCTTGAGGGCGCGGCGGAAGGTTAGGAGATCCGGAATTGTCCGGATCTCGGGGGGTAGCTCGTTCCAGATCTTCACAGAACGCAGAAGTTATGCCTTGATGTGGTCCCATCTTCAGGCTACCTACCAAATGAGGCAGCTTGTGGTCTGATTCAGGTGCAGATATGAACCATTGTCAGAAGTTTTGTGATGACCCATTAACTCCTCTTTCCCTGTCCTTTTTCCCTATGGGTGTTCACCATAAGTTAGGAGTACATTGGCACTCTCATCAATATTAGCAATAGCAGGAAGCTCTAGTTTTTTGACTACCCTTAGGACAGGGGTTGCATATTCCAGCTTGAACTAATCAAGGTTAAATTGAACTAATCATGGTTAAAATTCACGATGATTTAGATGACACTTAACTCTTCTCTTACAACCTGCTTACAATTAAAGACTTTGCAGAAGTATTCATTCAACATGCTAAAGTTGGGCAAGTCCCATTTAGGTTGAACATTTTGTGGCTTATCCTGTTGGTTACCTTAGAAATCAGTGCGTTGTATAAACTCAGAAGGTTAAGCTAATTTCTGAAATCAGGATAAATGTGTTTGCTTATAATAGTTCAATTCCCATCGACTTCCATGCATTTAGATACCCCTCTGTTAAATATTTAAACAAAAAATTAAAATCCTTTCAAACACCAGATAGGGTTTAGACTAAGAAGACACTGTATTAAGAATCCTTCTTTCAGTACTTTTTTTTTTTAAAAAAAGAAAGCTATATTTAATCCTCCATTTTTTTGTGTGTGTTGCTTGAGCTTGCTTGTATTTTGAGTTTGTGATATACAGGGTTATAAGCATGCATATATATGCATGTATATTCAATGTGAATAAGCCATAAATTTTTATTTTCAATAGTTCATCATTCCGGATTGTATATGGTTTTTTATCCGTTGTGTTGCTGAATGCAGTAAATGTGTTCAAGGATTTTCTTTTCTTCTTCTTTTTTTTTTTAAAAAAAATGTCTGCCTGTAGCCTTTTACTAAAATCTGAATACCCTAGCATTTATTTATGGGTCTTATTTTTCTGGCTTTTGCAATCTGTCTTCGGAGCAGCGTGGTGATATCAACAATACAAAACCTTAATTGAATGAGGTGCGAGTTGAAAATAGATTAAATAGCAGCAAAATGATGACTTTGCCTGTATAGGAATAAAATGGTTGAATAGACCATCCCTACCTCTTCTTTTTTTTCCTGAATGGAACAGTAGGAGAAAAAAAAACTGTCTTCTAATCAAAAGTGGATAAGGCCTTGTTCAGATTATTTTGACATAGTAAAAATAGAGACGTACTATCAGTAGAAGAGAAAAAACTTGGTGGTTTTCTTGCAGATGTTTCGTTGCCCAACTAGGTAATATCATCATGATGAGAAGGGAGATCGGTTTGTGGAAAGGAGAAGGAAGAAGAGAAGGAGGAAGAGGAGGAGAAAGAGGAAGAGGAGGGGGAAGACAACTGTGGGCTCCTTGGTTCTCTCTGAGCTTGGTGGTTTTCTTGGAGATGTTTCATAGCCCAACTAGGCAACATCATCAGGACTAGAAGGGAGACAGGTTTGTGGAAAGGAGGAGGAGGAGGAGGAGGAGGAAGAGGAAGAAGAGGAGGAAGAGGAGGAGGAGGACAACTGTGGGCTCCTTGGTTCTCTCTGAGCTTGGTGATTTTCTTGCAGATCACCAACTAGGTAATATCATCATGACGAGAAGGGAGATCGGTTTGTGGAAAGGAGGAGGAGGAGAAGGAGGAAGAGGAGGAGAAAGAGGAAGAGGAGGAGGAGGGCAACTGTGGGCTTCTTGGTTCTCTCTGTGC